TTTCGGAATCCAGCACCTACTTTCAAAGTTGGAGACAAAGCCTGGCTTCTTCGACGAAATATCAAGACCAAGCGACCATGTGATAAGTTGGACTATCGAAGATTGGGACCATTTATCATCCAGAAGCAAATTAATCCAATGGCATACCGGCTGGAGTTACCGGCTTCTATGAAGGTACATCCAATCTTTCATGTTTCTCTGTTGGAACCTTATCGAGAGTCATCTTTTCCTGGAAGAGTGCAATGTCCGCCACCTAATATTGAAATCGAGAACCACGAAGAATACGAGGTTGAAAAGGTATTAGATTCACGGCGAAGGTGGGGAAAGTTAGAATATCTTGTTCATTGGTGCGGCTATGACATTAATGAGCGAACGTGGGAGCCAGCTGAAAATCTTACGAATGCGCCACAAAAGATACAAGAGTTTTATCAACGACATCTCTATAAACCTAAATCAATTCGATGATAGCTTCTTTCTGAAGCTTGTTCTCCCAACAATATAAGAAAAGGGGAGAGCACCAGCAAAATTCATAGTTGATGTAGTTATTTTCTCCAAGATAGATCGTAGTTTGGTCTTTTGATATGGATAGCCAAGAGATAGATACTATGCCAGTCAGAGTATCGCAATCGAGTAGCTCACGAAGGCGACCCCGAGATGAAAAACTACATGTACCACAACGACAACGGAGGATACCGAGTAATCGATCACTTGTGATCATATTTGAGATCGAGCCTACTTACGATGGTCAACCAGAAGGCGTGTTTGCAGGACAATTTCACAATGAGGACACGAAAGTTCATGCTTGGTGAGAAGTCGAAGGCGTGGGCCACTACCGTTGGCTTCAAGGGTCGATGAACCACTTGCCTCGTGAACAACAGTTGGAGTTTATAGCAGAAGTTATGCAACAGATCTTCATTTTCTTGCGTTGGTACTGATCAACAGCATTGCTTCTCAGAGACCTCGAAGCTAAAGGAGGGGGTGATGTTAGGGACATATTCCTTAGAACTTTCTAGAGAGAAGTTTCTAGAACCTTCTAGAAAACAAGCTTCTGGAACCTTCTAGAAGAGAAGCCTTTGGAACCTTTTAGAGAGAAGTTTCTAGAAGCTTCTAAAAAGGAAGTCTCTGGAACCTTCTAGAAGAGAAGTTTCTAGAAGCTTCTAGAAAGGAATCCCCTGGAACTTTCTAGAAGCTTCCTAGTTAATAGAAGTAGCTTGAGAAGTTTCTAGAACCTTCTAGAAAAGAAGCCTCTGGAACCTTCTAGAAGCTTCTTAGTTAATAGAAGTAGCTCGAGAAGCTTCCTAAGTAGGAGTATATATAGGGATCGAGGGTGAAGAGTTCTTCAGTCTTGACAACACATCTCTTGGAGTTCTAGCTCACCTTTCTGGTGTTGTTCTTGTACTCATCTGTTTAATCTAGTTCTGCCACTTCTTCTTGAACTTCTTGTTAGATTTCAAGTCTGTATTTTGTGTCCGTGACACCAACCAGTAACTTACGACAAAATTTATTTACCTATTTTATAGTCCTCTTTAGGTTGGTTGCCACATCCAAAGGATAAGAGTAGAATTGAAGTACATCTTCAAATATAAAGAGTAATCTTGGTAAGTTCTAAACTTTAGCTCTTTAAATTATTTGAAATTTTAGACAAAAAAAAAAAAGGAGCACGACTTGGCAAAATTAAGTTGGTTCCAAACTTGAGTTCTTCAGTTTTATTTGAACTTTTAGATATGCAAGAAAGGAGCCCAATTTGGCAAAATTAGGTGGGTTCCAAATTTAAGCTCTTTAATTTTATTTTAAATTTTAGACATACAAAGAAGGAGCATAGCTTGGAAAAATTAAGTGTATTTCAAATCTTAGTTCTTTATGTTTATTTCAAATTTTAGGTACATTTAGGAAGGAGCACAATGGGACTTGTTGTTCTAATGGTAATATCTTAACCATTCTACCACCTTATATTGTAATTGAATATTAAAATATTCAATTACTTACACTAGAAATTTCTTCAATCTAATTTTAGGTTCTTTTTATTAAACAAAATTAGTTGTGTTTGTGATAAGCGCCTTTAATTTTTAGACATTTTGTGAGAAGTTAAGTTGAATTAATAGCCAATATGACTTCTTCTTGGCATTGAATTTGTATTTGTCAAAAGTAATATCTCCCATGATGCAAAGTTGATTATTGCATGTTATCATATAAGTTGTCTTTTATTTGGTGTTGTATGATAACATGACTATATGGTGAAAAATAAAAATATAGATATTATTATAAAAGATCTTAGTAAAAAGATCTAATAAAAAAATAAAAAAATATAGAAAATAAATAAAAAATTAGTCTTAATATTTGCTTTTATAGAAAGAACTTTAATTAACTTTATAGAGACATAAATGAATCAAATCAAAATAAATGAAATAAGAAATTATTATAGGAATATTAGAGAGAGAATTAACAATAAGTTAATGCAAAACTTACATCAAATTACTAAAATTTTATACTTGAAAAAGATTGGTTGTTAACTTGAATAGAAATCATACTATGAGGCTTAAAACCATGAACCTATGATAACTCCAAGGTTTTTTAATAAATCAAAGTAAGAAGATGAAAGGAGATTTAAGGAGAGATTTTCGAGCATTGGTTTGAAGTCATTTGGATCAATATTTAAAATTTGAAGGATTTTCAAAGTTGGTGATTTTTCCAATGAGTTTAGATTTTAAAAAATAAAAATATGTTTACAAATTTGAAGATTTCTTGAATTTTGTAGCATGTATTTAAAGAAAATTTGGAAAAGTTTTTTTTTGTGCTTATTGTTAATGTGTTTGTAAAATTTAAAGTCAATTGAATAGTTAAATTGTAGCATACGAAGGTTTTTATAAATTATAATCTCAAAAATTTGAAATTTAAGGTCAATGAGTCATTTTAAGATCTATCTATATCTACAAATTGAATTGAAGTAAAATTTAGAGAACTCACTTAAGACTTGAATATCTATACACAATCCAATTTTTAGAGTGATTGAACAATTCAAAAAGGAAAATTTGGTATTGAAAGATCAGCATTCAAGTTGGAGAAGGAGGGCAGCCAATAATTGAGAGGTTTTGGGAGCTTTTCTTATAATTAATATGTCTAATTTTTTTGAAACTTTGTATGCATATTAATTACTTATTGATTAAAATTTGGATAAAATTTTAGTTAAGATCTACAATTCAATTAATATTTATTGAGGTTCCAAATAGCTATAATAATTAATTGAAATTTACTTGGAATTTCTTGGAGTTATTTAGGATTTTGGATTTCATTAAGTTTTGGTCTAGGATTATAATTTAGGATTTGCTTAGGATTTAAGATTTCATTAGGATTTAGATAAGGTTAATTAGGATTTTAATTAGATTTTTAATTAGAATTTAATTTTATATTTAATTAATATTTATTAAGATTTAATTAAGATCAAATTAGGATTAATTAGGATTTATTTATTTATTTAAAGATTCTTAATTATTTCTTTATAGAATTTCGATTTATAGAATTTCTTTAAGATTATTATTTATTTAAGGTTTTATTTATTTATATATATATATTTTAGAATTTTTTTATTATATTTTTTTGAGATTAAATTATGACTTTTTTGTATTTCTTTTGTGACTTCTTTTAAATTTATTTTAATTGGTTATGATTTGATTGAAATTATTAAAGATTACTTGAAGATCATTTAGGATTCTATTAGACTTTATAGAATTATTATTGCATTTCTACTTTCCTTTCATAGCTAGGTACTTGGTGCAGTTTCAAGCAAGAACACACATAATATGATATAAGTCATGAATCCAATGTAAAAGCGACACTTTTAAACTGAGAGAGCGAATCGATTTAGTGGTTGTTAATGAATTGGATCATACCAACCACATCCTGAAGTGTGGACCTGCTTCAGTCGAAATTTATATTCTGTTCAAGCAGACTTTTGGTTTAATTAACAATAATGTTGTTCCTTCTCGACACAAGTATTGTAGCTTTGCTGCATTTTTCATGACTTACTGCACAGAAGACATGCGCAACCTATCCTAAGAAAGATTCTGATGATTTTTTTAACCTTGGCTTTGATAATACTGGGTTTCAGGCTATGTGATGGCCTTCATAGGTTCCTTCCTTAGTATGACTGTGGTGAGTAATTTATAACCTGCAATCCCGTAGATATAGATGACTGCTAGGAAAGTTCGTGACTAGAAAATGAGCTGATTGGAGAATCTTCCTGTGTGAACAGTCTGATGTATTCTTCTATTTGTTAGCATGAGTGGAAGAACGAAAGTTGAATAGTAGAATTCGTGAAAAAGTCATGCGTGGATATATATCAATCGTTGATGCATAGGGCTTGTGATACCCGCTCTGATGCATAGCCGCACAAATCTCGTACATTTGAACTTTTGATGTTTGTATGATGACATCTTGTTTGGCGTTGGATTACAGTCTTTAATTCTTCCCTGTGCATGCTTCCTCGCCATCTTCGGCAAGAAAATATCGATGATTCAGGTGAATTTTCTCATATTAACTCCTATTAATTCATGGAAGAAAAAGGGTGCATCTTTAATATATTCCTAGCCTTCATGTGTTCTCTAGATTTCTGGCGACTCAACATGTGAATCTGCTTAGGATTTGGATGCTTAAGCTAATATCAGTAGTACGTAGAATTATCAGTGTTGCTTTCTTCACATTTGAATGTCCTGTTCGTATATAGCTTGACCGACATTCTAACGGCAGCTCATGTGTGTCACAGATATTTTTCTGTGTTATGGTGATGCTAATAGGGTTCATCTGTCTGGTGTTGGGGACTTACTCCTCTATCTCTGGCATTGTTGCGAGCTACTCTCAACCCGATAATTTCCTTCCTTGAGTGTCCATTGCATTCAATGAGAGCGAGGAAGTTTTTAATTTTATTTCATCTCTTATTATATATATATATATATATTGCAACTTTGGGTGTGGGATATTGACATCGCGGCCTTCAACTCATGAAATCCAAGTAAAAAGATACGTATTGTATTTTAGCTACACCCATGTACAACAAGGTATATTAGTTAATAAGAATCAAATGGAAGAGTTCCATAATGCTTCCAGCGTCAATTCTAATTTGTATCCTGTCCTTGTTCCCTCCCAAAGTAACTGGGGAAGATAGACATTTGCTGAATGCACGAAGTTGCTACCAATTTTGTATCCGAGTCCATGTCCTGAAATTTTTCCCCTTGCTGATTGCCATCCCCATGGCACTCTCTGTCTTTGTATCATTTGTGCCAACATAGTACATTCGAAAACTGCCGTCGTCCATTTGCAAAACATGAGGGGCTGCAACTGTGCCGTTGTCCCAAACCTCCTCGCCAACTCGAGCAGAGAATATTGGGCCTTGGCAGAGTGGGTCTCTCTCCCAATGAATCCCATCTGGTGAGATTGCAAGACCAATTCCATGAATGCCTTTATTATTGACGCCCTCGTAAAACATGAAGTACTCGTTGTCGATCAAGAGTACGTGCCTGCGGCCAACTCCACCCTCGTCCCACGAACCAGGCGCTCCTCGTGTCAATGCTTTTCCTGCTTTAAACCATTTGTGTCCGTCGGCAGGGAGTGCAACGCCTATTGATGAGAAAGGGAGGGTCTGTTTCTCAATGGAGCTGTAAGTCATCAACCAAGTTTTATCCTCGTCTGATGGATCTTGACAGCGATGTCTGCTACTCGGAGGAAGCACTCTCGGCCACGCAATGAACAATTCGTCCCACTCATTCTGCAGTCCAACATTGAGTAGAGGGTTTCCTGTGAACAAGGCGCGGTCGAAGACAACGCCATCAGCTGATTTGACAAGCCCTGGAAGCATCCTGAGGCCTTGGAGAGCTTTGTTGCTGGGTCTGATTTCCATCTTCTCGGCTGACCCACCGAAGTAGAACATCCACCATTGACCTGCAACAACGAAAATGTAAGCAGGTTCAGGGTTTAATTAGCTAATTGGAGAGAATGCAATGACAGGCATAGAAAAGAGCTGTGCATGTACCATCGTGGAAGAGGACATCACTGCAGCCATGCACAGAGTCGAAAGTGTCGCCTCCTTCTTCCGGATCAGAAGTATGAAGTATTTGAGTTGATTTATTTTTATTTTTATTTAATGAAGAACAAAAACAAGAGTTTTGAAGGAGCTATAGAAAGAGCTTTAAGTGGAGCTTCTAGTAGAATTTTAACTAAAAGACAAGGTATGTACATGGATCCAACCATTGCAAGTATGTTCCAAGCTTTTACATTGTCTATTAAATAACAACAAAGCAATGATTTCAAAGAAGCTTTGGCAACCAAAGCATTGCAAGTAATGGTTAACAAAATTGATCAATTTGATGAAAGGGATATTTTAAAGTATTTCAGATGTTATGTGCAAAAAATGGAACTAAATTAGGTTTCTAAAAAAAAGATGATTGAGCTATTTGGACTTGCCATGATATTAAAGCTAAAGGAACATGTTACATCAATTATGTAGCATTATAGAGGTTCTTAGAAGGTATTTTACATGCATTAAAAGATAAATATTTCTTGGACAATATTGATTCTATTACTAAGAAATTATTTATAGAATGGATTAAGTAGCCTAAGAAGAATTTACAAGCAATAAAGCTATTAAGAAAGTTTGAAAGGTAATATTTTTAATTATTAAAGATGGAAAGTTATTATTGGAGCCAAATAAGATTGAATTATTTCTTCAAGGTGTCGATGGAAAATTACAAGAAAAATTAGAGATGCTTCTTGAAGACAAAGAAGAAGATGAAGGATTGACAACAAAGTAGACAAATGTTGAAGATGCCATGGATTTGTATATAAAATAAGAAAAGAAGAAGAATAGGATTAATATTCTAAAAACAATATATGCATCTAAAACTCAAGTGTATATAATATAATCAATAATGCCAATTGTTCAATCTTTAATATCTACATCAAAGATATGGAAATTGAAGAGATTATATGTGGGATGTAAGAACTTCAAATTAAATTGGCAAAACTAAAAGAGAAGACTTCTACAAATAATTTGAAGGCTATTTTTAATTAATGATAAATATAAAGATGTATTTGATATAATGATGCTTCTCATACTAAGGAGGATTGCAATGAATTTAAAAATATGATATAATAAAGAGTTTTTTTTTTGAAGGATGAAAAGGTGATATTAAAAGATACAAAAAATCTCTTTTAAATCAATTTTAATAAAGAAAGTATAAGAGCATGGATTTAAGACTCTTTAATAGCACATGAAGTAGCAATACAAGAAGGTATAAGTTATGATACTAGGATAGATGATGACTTTGATGGAAGTAGAGAAATAAGTAAATTTTGGACTTTTGCCATTTTTATAATAAAAAAAGAAAAAACACCTCAAGAGGCATTTTTGAAAAGTGTAGCTATAATATGTGATGCAATAGATTGAAAAGATCATGTTGAGGCTCTTTTAGTTCATACATATATTGCTAGGAGTCAACATGAAGCCTTGATGGAAGAAAAGAAACAAAGATATTTTGATGATATAATAGAAGGAAATTCTTCTAAAAGGCAAAGTCAAGGAGAGAAGGCTTGTGAAGTGGCTTTATAAGAATTATTCACAAAGGATACATCAACATTAGAAGAATAAGCAAAGAAGACAAAAGATAAAAGTAGATTGATTGCTTATAAACTATTCTTTGACATTGAAGTAGCAATAGATTTAAAGAAGGTGTTGAAAGATTGTCTACTAAATACTAAGGTGGAATTTACATTGAAAGAAATTTTTAAAATTATAAAGAAGGAATTTCATGATATTATTATTAACAGTATTAAAAAGAAGAAAAAATTAATGGATGAATTTGGAATGAATTATGCTATTGATGCAATGATATACAAAGTTGAAGAAGAGGTTGATAATTGTTACAAGCAATCATCAAGTGGTTATAATCAATGAGTTTATTTAATTATAATAATAAGAAAACAAAAGCTTCAAGCCATTATACTTGAAAGCATTTGGCAAGGGTAACTATAGAGGTATTGGTGAAGGTTGAAGATATAGAAGAAGTAGTTGTTACTTTAGTTGATGACGATTTTTAAATAAAACTTATGACTAAGAATCTTTATAAAAAGTAGAGGTAGTCAATTGATATAGAGCATGGATGGACAATATGAGCAACTAATAATACATGAAGTGAATTATATAGAGCTTGCCTAAATATTAAAATCCGGATTAGAGATGTTATAATGAAGCAATATTTTTTTATTCAAGATACAATGGCTTATTCAACGATTTTAAAAAAATTATATATTATGACAATATAGATGGAAACAAAAGTACTTAATAATGATTTAATCTATATACACATACGTAGTAAAGATGAAAAAAAAGAGATATAATTTCTAACTATGCCTCTTAATCATGAAAAAAATCAAGATAAGTTGAAGGAGAAACTATTACCAAGAGTTGTTAAAGAATTTAAAGTTTTTGAAGAAGAACCATTGTGAAGCAAAATTATGGAGGTACAATAGGAGAAATACTTTTAGAAGATGTAAATGCCTTTGATGTAGGTTTTATTGGAATTTTGAAGATGGAAGTATTACATATTAGAAATTTGAGGATTTAAAAAAAATATATAATATTAAAAAAGAATTATGTAGATTTAAGACATTAAAAGATAATGACAGTATTTTAGGTATTTTTGAAGAAAATAGGCTAGAAGATTCTTTGAAGTTATTTGTATCTATTGGATTAGAAGATGGTGAGAAGATTTTGGAGATTCATTCAAGAGAGGTTTATTATATACTTGAATCTTTTCAAACATCAAAAGTTATTATAAAAATAATATATAAAATAATAGATAAGAAGATAAAATCCATTGTTGGTTTTTTATCAAAAGATTCTATAGAGTAAATAAAAGAAGCATCAAAAAATAAAATTTAAGAAATCCAAAGAATATTGAACATCAATTTACAAAGGAGATTTTTTAAGAATTAAAGACTAGATGCGATAGTTCCTTGTTACTAATAGAAATTGAATATTTTAAAGAAATGCTTGCAAAACAAGGTAAATTATTTGTCTTTGAACCTCATGAAATAAGATGTATTGATCCTAATATTATTGCTCCTATGGTTATCTTTACAATGCCACATGTGCCTTGGAAGTTAAGGCCAATTCCTTTGCTAAAGACACACTTGCCTAAATTGGTGGAATTATTGAAAGAAAAGATAAAAACAAAGATTTTGGAGCCTTTGCTTGCTTCATATTTTAATCATTAATTTAAGATGCCTTAAAAAAATGGATCATTATGTTTTATTCAAGATATGTAGCTAATAAATGCAATAACTATTAAAAATATAGATATAAGATCTTAAATAGATGTGTTTAGTGAAGTATTTGCACAAAGGATAATTTATTCAATGAATGATTTATATTTGGACTATGATTAATTTCAACTCGTACATGGAAGTAGGGATCTAATAACAATAAAAATACCACTTAGATTATTTAAAATGTGTACTCTTTTACAAAGTGCTACAAAATTAGTTACATATATGATAAATGGGATAAACAAGGTATTAAGAGACTTCATTTCTAAAAAAATATGCTTTTTCTGAATGATTTTTCTATCAAAAGATATAAAGAAGAAGAAAAAATGAGACTTTAGATGAGAGGGGGTATCACAAATATATTGTTGATTACATACAAGATTATAAAAAGATTTTAATTTGACTTGAAGAAGTACATCTTATACTTTTGAGAGAAAAATCTATATTTGGAATATAAGAAGTTATCATTATTAGATATTTATATGGATTTTATGAGAGAAAATAGGATCCAAGTAAAGTTGATGCTATTGAAAGGATGAAAGATACATAAGACTTTTTAATAGAAGTACACAAGTTTTTAGAAGCTTATATATTTTATTATATATAGATTGTTCATTATATTCATATAATAGATCCATTGTATGAATTATTATGTAAGGGTTGTCAATTTAAATGGAAAAGAAAGCATACTGAAATAATATAAAAATTAAAGGTATTTGGCATATAATCCTATATCTTATAACTTTTACAAGATTAATTTCACATAATTTTTATATTCTTTAAGAATCGTAGAATTAATTAAGATATTATTAAGATAATAGACAGTAAACTTGTTAAAGAATTCTTAAAATATATCATTCATCAAATGTTAGAATATAATTGGAGCATTTTTTAATTGAAAAGATATGACATTATATTCAAAATATTTGTACCTTATTCAAAATGTTATCTTCTATTTATCTCCTTCTTTGATGTACATCAAATTATATGCTCTATAGAGATTTATTTTGGTGTAGATCTTAGCTTGATTAAATTGCTCTAAAAGCCTTGATATTAATGATAATGGATAATAATTCTTTACCATTATTTTATTGATGCTATGACAATCAACACACATCTACAAAGATTCATCTTTTTTCTTTACAAAAAATATAAGTGTACTTACTAGATATTTGGAATGCCTAATAAAAAAAAATTTAAGAATTTTAATAATTTTATCTTTTAATATTAGAAGCTTATTCTATGATAGATTTTAAATTAAATCAAATGGTGATTGAATTCCTTTTTAAAGATTAATGGCTCAATCATATGATTGATGCTTCAATAATATTTTAGTATTTTTTTTTCGAGACATCTTGAAATTTTTTATATTACTATAGAATAGCTACTGGCAAACTTGTTTCTTCATGAGCTTGAGTTGTATAAATAACAAATAGAAATTCTTTCTTAGTCATTTTCATAAAAGTCTTTTGTCCTAAAAATAAGGACTTTATAGTTGATGACTTCTTGTTAAGTTTTTTTTGAAGGATTTCTATAGAAAATTCAACCTTATAAAATCTCCAATCTATAGATGGATTATTTCTTTTCAGCTACAAAAGTCCTAAGATAATATGATTAGATGAGATTTTAATAATATTGAATATTATTTTGCTACTATGGCCTTTAAATAATATTTTTAGTAGTATGGTCTTATTAATAATATTGCCTAAAGATAAAGATCAATTATCTAT